CACACTTAGACCCTGACTGATGGCCTTCACCTCTGATTGTGATTCAATAACAATCAATACAGACTACCATGGGGGAAAAAAACCACACCGGGGACATTCCTTTTTTAAAAATAAAATATAATCCTAGGTGTGACGTCAGCCAACAGCTGTACCGTGGGCGATGAGACAAATAATATGGGGAATGAAAAACAACAACCAAAACCCGGACGTATTATATAGATCTATATAAGAACTATTTTGAATTCCAAGGCACGTAAAAATGAGTTTGTATCTAAGGTGATAATACGAAAAAGAGCACACTTGTCCATGTTTGAGTATTTTCTCTTTCGGTGACCGCCAATCGGTTACTAAATCCTTCAGCGCGAGGATATAATACGGTGGGAGGACTGTTGTACTCAATATATGTCTTCTTTGACTTTTTTTTAACGAAGGCATTTTTCCTGTGTGCGACAGTGAAGCATCTGTAACTGTTACACTACAGAAACTGGTACTGCTATTACTATAGATATCCTTATGATTACGGAAAGTCTTTTTTTGCTGTAGTGGCTGCTGTTGTTGGAATTGCAGTTTAGTTTTAGTAAGAGTTTAGGTTTTAGTTTAAGTAAGTGTTTAACGGCACTTGCAACACAAAGGTCATTTCGGTGCCAAAGAAAAGAGGTGTTTTACAAGAGAGTAACAAACACAAGAAAAGAAGGAGGGGATAAGAACGATAGATAAGTGATAGAAAAGGAGCAAACCACACCAGAGCACCAGCCAACCACCCAATAAACTAGTCCATACCCACCGCAATACCATACGTCACTTCCCCTACCTACCCTCATAATAACTTATTATGGTTTACTCATTATGTAAGAACAGGCACGGCAGGGTCCTTTCGTCAGTATGAGGTGACCTTTTATCAATACGAAATAACTTCTCTTTTTTTTTACAAATATCTTTCTATGACAATATCAGCGCTTATCCAATGGAATCCGATACAGTTAACGTCAACATTTATTTTGTTTGTTTTTTGTTTTTAAACAGGCCAACGGCGTGATATTCAACAGGAAACGCCGACGTAGGCTAGGCCGAAAACAAATCCAATAAAAAAATAAATAATAAAATAAAAATAAACCCTAAGTTATGGCGCTACAGATCACAAATAAATGCACACAGCATTGGATATTTCCGATTTTTGCTGTCGCGCAAGAGCTGCTACTGTCGCTGTCGTCACGAAGCGTTCACAAGTGCTCCACGACCCTTGAACTTTGAACCAGCTGAACACTCAGTGACCGCAAAGGGAAGGTCGAGTGCTCTGCTCTTGCTGAGCGGATTTACAGTGTACTGTGTAGGGCTTTGGCCTAGCTTGGGACTGGCTGAGTGATGATAGCGACACAAAAGCGATTGTGTCTCAAACATAGTAGATCTAGTAAAGTTGCAGACCAGGAACAAGATTCAGAATAATATATTTATAGCACGGTAATATTTCCCCCCCACTAAGATCAAGCTTGGTTTACGTGGCGTTGCGTGTGACTGCAGTCAAGAAACGCAATAGCGGAAGATATATAATGAGAAATTCCGATGATGAGG